GTGTGTGTGTGTGTGTGAGAGAGAGAGAGAGAGAGAGAGAGAGTGAGAGAGAGAGAGAGAGAGAGAGAGTGTCTGTGTGTTTAAAGACCCCCTTCTGGCCACCAAAGGTTCCTGAAAGGCTGCTCGGCCATGGGCAGAGCTGCTGCCCCATTTAACTTGGCCTCGAGAAGAAGGGGCTTGGCCAAGACCCTTGACTGCCTCCGTGGCCAAGGTGCCTTTATTTATGCATTTGTTTGACACAAGGTTCACGAATCAGCCCTCCGCCAAGCGGGGCTGAAGGCCCTGTGCCCAGCTTGATAAAGAGACGAATGGAGGAAAGCCTGACAGGTGGGGAGAAAGGAGACGCTCAAACGCCTACCACTCCGGCCCCCTTCCGAGCACTCTCCAGTTCCTGGAAGAAGTTCTCCAGTTCCTTGCCTTCGATGTAGCCATTTCCTGGAAAGAAGAAACAGGACAGTGGGGTGTCAAAACGGGGCAAAAGGTGACATCACAAACCAATGCGGTCGGTCCCATCTCCCTACAATCCCTACGTGCTGACTGGAGCTTGAATGTTCTTTTATTCAAGGAACCTGTTGGGCCAACCATTACTTTGAAGTGGCCACAGGATCCTTACCATTACAAATCATTACTCAGGACATAAAAACACATCAGGGCATGGTCACATTGCGTCCTCCTTAGTGAGGCTTCCAGAAAATGCCACTTCTCCCTTAGCACTTCCGATCTCCAGGCTTGTCCTGCTGTGGCCCAACCACCTCCCCGCCTGAGCTGATGGAGATTGTCTTGGGTTCAGTTTTGGGATCCTCAAAATTCCTATCCAGCGTCTCCCTGTGAAGAGCAGCCCAGGCCTCTGCAGCAGCCGTGACCACGCGTAGGGATCCCAACAGGGCTGGTAGCCGACGGGACGGATCACGTGGTTCAGCATTTGCCAGGCGCTGGAGGTCACTGGGGAAGAAGGGGCTGTCTATTTCCCACGCTAAGGGTCAGGGCATGCCCTGGCGAAGCCCAGCTCATAAAACTAAGTAACAGCAAGCACACTATTAGATGTACGAGGGAGAAGGGTGGGACATCACTGGCTGGGAACCCTCCACGAGGAAGGGATCTAGAAATGGAGATCCAGTTGGAAATTGGGCACAGAGAATGTGCAGGAGCCTCTGGAAGATTACAAGATGAATGGGGAGAAAATCCCATCCATTTCAAGGTGGATCGGAGGCCTTGGGAGCCACCCACTTCACCCACTCCCACGGATCTAGACTTAAGTGGCCTCATAGGTAGACTTCAGGGGAGCGGGATGCCAAAACCACCCGATTCTCCTGCCCAGGCAGTGCTCCAGCGCCTCCACTCCCACACCATCTCTCCCTACCCCAGGAAGCAGAGGAAGGAGGGAGTGGCAGTTTCCCTCCCATGCACAGAAAAGGCCACCATTATTTTGCTTTCTCCATCAGACAGGAAACGGGTTTTGTAATTGCTTAGTTAGAGGGAGAGAGCCAAACCAGGGAAAGCTGTCAGAATGGACAAAATGGTCCAAGGAGCAGATTTTCACATACTGCCTTTAAAAGCGTTTTAAGGGCCAGCTGGTTAACCATTAAAGAACTGAAAACACAACTGGTGAGTCTCTTCCTGCAGGCAGTCCTATGAAAGTCCAGATTCTGCAGCACCCCTTCAAGATCACACAAGCGAAATATTGTCAAAGCTCCTCTTTGCTCCGTTCAGCACAGAAACTGCTACTTCCCGTCTCTCCAACGGAGGGGCTCCTTGTCAAATGCCTGTTTTTCAAAGGTGCTTCTCATTTATCTTCAGCTTCTCCGCAGCTGCTCTCAGCTCCGCAAGCCAAAGACCAAGCCTGCTGCTGCCCTTCCTAATTGGCTAATTTGGGTTCGGGGCCCTCCGTGGACACGGCAATTAAAAATGCCTTCCTGTGGAGCTGCTGAAGCCTTTGGCGAAAAAGTGCTGCTGTCCACGGGCTTGTGAGCAGTGGAGCGTTTTGTGCCACATTCATCATGGAAAAAGCAAAGGAGAAGTGGGGAGAAGGAGAGAGCCCTCTTCAAACATCCCAGGAAATGATGTGAGGCATCGCAGAAACAGTCTGGAAAGGGCTGCAAAGCGCAGGGCTCCCCCCACCTCTGTGAGGGTTACTGTGAAGGGTCCCATTTGAAAGGGCGCCACGTCCACAAGCCCCCAAGGCTGTAACACCAAGGAGGGGGGCTTTCCATTGTGGTCGTGGGGGTGGCTAAGGGTGAAGCCAGCCTCGTTTCTTGTCCAGCCCCTCAGAGCTTAGCCTCTGTCTCCACTCCCAGCAAAGCGCAGGGTGTCTGAGCTCCCTCCGTATATCTATCTATCCTTCCTTCCTTTCTTCCTTTGTTTGTTTGTCAATGAGTCCAGCCCTTCGCAGCAGCTCTTAAAATTGACCAGTCTTCTCCTTCCAGTTTTGTGTGATAATGATGATGATGCTCTCTTTTCTTTTGCACAGCACTCACACTCCCTGTCCTCCCTCCATCCCAGGGCCTTTTCAAAGGACTATCAAGTTGCTCCCTCCAGTCTTTGCCCACGCAGCAGGAGGAAGGGCCATAGGTTGGGCTCAGGCTCACCCTCCCATCCCAACACAGGCAGGATGTTAAAAATACAGCCATAGATGGGTCAGGGTCAGAAAGCAGAGGGATAACTGCTTCAAAATCCAGCTGGGAGAGGGCTGCAGCAGCAGCCGTGTCCGAGAGCTGGGCTGTTGCATTGCGGGAGAAGTAGGACCAAGAAAAAGTTCAATCAAAAGGCAGCCGAAGGGAAGCCTCCCTTCTGGTTTGGTCTCAATCAAACATCCCCTAAATGTCAAGAAGACCCAGGAAAGAGCCTCCTTCCCTGGGCAATCTTGGTGGGTGAGCTGGTGCAGATGGACAAAGGCGGTGCTTCTGGGTGACCAAGTTCCCCACAATGGCATTTCCACACGGACATGCTTAAGAACCACGGCGGGGGCTCTGTATTGTCCAGGGGTTTAAGTCCCAGGGATGTCCCGTGTCTCATCTGCAGCCAGCCTCCCATTGGCACAGTCGTCCTTCCGAGCTGGGGGCCGAAATTCAATTTCCTCTTATGGTGAGTGCAGTGAAGAGGATAATAGAATGCAGAGCATTTTGTAGAAACAAAATGGATAAGCTCTGCCAAGGCCTTTATGTAATTAAAATAAGGGGAAACCACTTTGCAGAGCACCCATTCAAAATGGAACTTATTGCCTTCTGTAATAAATCAAAATTAGGCAGCATTTAATCATTCTTTTGCCTTGCCCTGGACTCTTATAAAGCCATAAATTGCACTCATGGGGTTCTAAAATTCAGAAAATATTGAATACCAGTGAAATAAAATCTCAAAATTCAGTAACGATTGGAAAGACATAATACTTTTAACACTAACAAAACATCTGAGCATCTTTACCCACTGTAAGTAGAATTTGGTCTGACAAAATTCATTGCCATCCGATTGCTGTGGTTACAAATTTCCCTCCATGACATTCAGCACAGTACATGCCTTGTTATTTACTTATTGATTTAATATATTTCTCCCCTCCTCCTCTCTCCCGAAAGGACCGAAGTCCGCTCACAATATTACAAGCACTATAAAAGGCTCCCTGGAAAAGACAAAGATGCAAGGAACATACAAGGGCTGTAGGAAAGACGGAACATGGGGTGGGCTGGTCCAGTAAAAGAAAGTCACAGCCTTGAGTGTGCGAGACCTCCTCCTCGGGGCTGTTCATGCCAGGTCTTTTTGGGTGACATTTGTGGGGTAGAATTGTAGGAGGGGGCTGGGAGGGATGAAGGGCTGCCCCCTGCCTGCCTGTCTGCCTGGGGAGCTACAGTCCCTCTCAGGCTGGAGGTACCTCCGCCCCTCCTATGAGATCCCTTCCCCCCACACACACACACATCCCTCTCAGCCTGTTCAGTGCAAGCACAGGCCCCTGGCATGGTCTCCAAGGAAGCTTTGCCTGGCCCTCAGCGCCTCCCTTAACAGGGTCGGCAGGCCTGAGTCTGTTTCGATCAGCTCCAACAGGCAGCTGACATAGACTGGAGGGCCCAGAGGGCGGGGGGGGGGAAGAGATCCAGATGTTTGCTTCCAGCAGGTGCTGGTGTGACATTTAATTGGACCCTGTTCAGCCCCAGAGGGATTGCATTTTGCCCGGGAGGTTTTCCTGGCATGTCCCCATGGGTTGCACGATTTGTGGAGGGGGGGGAGAGTGGTGCCAGAAGCGATTCCTGAGAGCAAGTGGAGAGGGAGGGGGAAGAGAGGGGTGGAAGAGAGGAAAAAACACCAAGTGCAGTTGGAGACCAACAAACACCAAGCACGTTCACCATCTCTCCGGAGGCGCCATCCCAATGATTTGGTCCAAGTCCTTGACCTGGACTCAGGATGTCATGTGGGAAGCCGGGGTCCCAAGGCTCGCCCACCATTATGATGAGCGGGGGGGGCAAATGCCACCCCACAACAGAGAGATAGAACAGCGGGCTCCCTTTCAGAGTTCAGGTGGCTGGAGCTGTATTCTCTCTGTATGTATGAAAGGAGAAGGGTGTCTTTCTGGGGAAACATTAACTGAGGCCAGAAGGGGAGGCGCGTGGCACAGTTCTGGCTGAGGAGCTAGCTTTCTAGAAGCCGGGAATGTTACTCAGAGCCCCACTCAAAAGGTGGAAACACCAGCCCCCCCCCTTGCCTTCTGCAGTTAGCTGAGCAAGTTCTTCTGGTGAGTAGCTCTGCAGACAGTGGGCCCTTTGGTTCTCTTGTCTTCCGAGCGGGACGTGGGCTCAGCCACACCCCGTGGGGGAGTCAGAGGGGCGTAAGGACTGCTGCCCTCACAAGGGAAGGGGCAGGGGAAACGGCCGGAGGGAGAAGCATCAGGAACCATCCCTTTCGGGACCCCTGCTTTTACCACATGGTCCATCCTTCTGAAAGAGTCGTCAGCTGTTGACTCTGATGATGTTTGCAGGACCAACAACATCCACAGTTCCCTTGATCTAGGAGAACCAAACACAGTAACAACAGCAAGGGACCTCAGAAATTACAATAACAGGATTACTGAGTGGCAGGGACAGTGTGATTTGAAACTAATTGCTAGCCAGCTAACCAAGTCCTCCATTTTTGCTCTGCTAATTACTAGAGAGATGATGTAACCGAAAAGCTGTGCCTAATAGCAAGTTGTCAGGATGATTATATTAATAACAGGTTAGATACCCTCAGCTCCCCTGGGAAGCGCCTGGCCCTCTGCACACTGAACCACTCTTAAATTACATCGCAGCAACATCTCCTTTGTTTGTGTGTGAGCGAGTGTGCGTGTTTTGAAGGCACTCATTCCTGTTTGAAGCTGAGCTTATTTGGAGTGGCTGGCAAGGAGTCTTGGGGGGGGGTTCAACCCCTCGTGATATAAACTGGGCAAATCTGCCAGGAGACCATCCCTGCCAGGGCTGCTTGCCGAGATACAGACCACATGGGCACCAGCTGAGGGTGCCTGGGGCCAATGTCAACCATCGCTGATTTGCTCTCTTGTTCCTCACACACCTTATTAATGCAAGAGCTACAGCCTAATCCTCGGCGTTACAGCTGCTGCCTTTTCTCTGACATGTCTGCATATGGAGCTAATTAAATGCCCAAGGAGTTCTTCTCCAGCCCCTCCTTTTTTAAAAAAAAAAAAAGCCAAGACCCCGTGCAGAGTCATACTTGGAGGACCAGGAGGAGGCAGGCTCTCTAGAGCCGGCTGGAAGTATTGGCAAATCCTGGCTGCTGTGAAGTCCCAATGGGCCTCTAAATTAAGCGGCTGGGCCAAGGAGTTATGGCTCATTCATCACACAACTTTGGAGGAGGAAGGAAGGAAGGGGACCAATTCCAGGAAACACAGATGAGGGTGATAAGCCAGGTTCTGGCCCAGTCCTGATGGGGCTGGAGTAGCTGGTAGGAGCCTGAGGGCCTCAAAACGACAAGGGGCTGAAGATGTGATGGAAAGCAGGCTGTTGTCAGAGCCTAGAGGAGACAGACCGGGAGCGAAAGAGGCAGAAGCAAGAAGCAAGGCTGAGAACAGGTTGAGATATGGCCAAGGCAAGGCATTCGTTCGACTGGCTACTGATGATGCTCAGTTGAGGGGAGGGTTCAAAGTGTTCCACAGGTTCCAAAAGCCCAGGAGCAGAAGGACGTCCAGAGTTCCAAATTATCCATCTCAGAGTTAGTGCCTAACTCACCCGCCATGATGTCTTAATGCACTATGAGCCCTGGAATCAATTTCTGATGAAGTGCAAAGCATAAATGTTGCAGTTTAATGATCATTAATTAATACTTGGGTAGCTGGCTGAATAGCTCAGGGAGTTAGGTATCCAGCTGCAGTGGCAAAGGTTGGAAGTTCGATTCTCCCCTGTGTCTCCTGGCAGAAGAGCCAGCCTGGGTGGCCTTGGGCAAGCTGCGCAGTCCCAGAACTGTCCCCAGAAGAAGGCAATGGTAAGCCAGTTCTGAGTATTCACTACGTAGAAAAGCCTGGGAAGAGTTGTCATGAATCAGAATGGACTGGATGGCAAGCAATTAATGTAATGCTTGGATGAGATTATGGTCCCAAAGGATGCCAGCCTGGTTAAGCAGACAAATGGACAGTAAAGAGAGAAGACAGCTTCAGCAAAAGGTGTGCCCCCATCCTGACACTGGGGTCCCAAGGGTGGAACTGGATCACTGTGTATTTAGGAGACAGGAAGGGGAACAGCACTGTGCCTAAGTAGCTGCTGAGCTCCTGTGAGCTTTGGGCGGGGGGGGGGCTGGCTTAACATGGCTACTAAAAACCTCCCCAATGGTGGTTTTGGGCTGCCTGAGCCCACAGCACCGCTTGCAGCTAAGAAAGGGTGGACCAGGTCCATCTATCGGTTAGGATACTGGAGTCCTGCCCAAAGACAGAGGATGCAGTTAAACAAACGAACAAAATTAAAGGTTGTTTAAAGTTGCGAAGGATGGCACATCTCAATACCAGGTGCTGTGGTATCAGGAAGAGTGCTTGGTCTTGCCTTCTCCGTACAGGCTTCCCAAAGGTGCCGGACTGGAAGACAAAATCCCTCACTAGAGAGAACTGCGGTGCATGGCCTTCCAACACTAGCCTGTTCTTCCTGTTGTTCTCCTCAAATTTATCAAAGGCCCCTCCTAAAAGCATTTGTCTCTAAATTGAGGCAGGCAAGGATCTGTAGATGTGTTGCTTTTACTAGGAGAGCAGCGTAGTGTAGCGGTACGGCCTTTCCAGTTTCTGTGTAGACTTGATTTTACAATAAAATAGTCATATGCTATGTTTAATGGGAAAACCCACCATCGTTGCCTTCCCCTAACTGATGAAAACACAGGTCACCATAATGAAGGAGACAGCAAAGGCAACCATTAACAACAACCAAATTAAACCTGAAACCGTAAGCCTTGAGAGTGCAAGAGGCTTGGGTTCAAATCCTTGCTCAGCCACGGAAACTCTCTGCGGGGCAGAAAGAGAACACCATTCCTTGAACATCTCATGTATATAAATGCAGTAAGTAAGTAAGTAAGCAGTACACCATTCCTTGAACATCTCATGTACTTCAATAGCTCTAACAGGGCTGTCATAAATCAGAAGTGATTTGATGGTACATAACAAGCAAAAACTAAAACACACTGTTCGCTAAAATGCAGAATGCCAATGAATATTTAAAAACAGCCGCAAAAACCTTCTCGGTTCAGTGGTCCATGAAACCTGTCTTATGAAAAAGTCAGAGCAAAGGAAGGCATCTTAAGTGCCCTTTTAATGGATCTTAATTGTGTGTGGGGGGGGGGACTGGAGGTGCCCCGACAGGCAATGCGTTCCACCACCCTGGCAGGAAAAATGGGGTGGTGGTGGATGGGATTGCCCTACTTTCCAGCTCTTGACAGTATTCAGTGGCCTGTGTGTTGGGCTTTGGCTGGCTGGCTGGCTGGCAGGCAGGGTTGAAGGCAAGCCCTCAAGAGCCACATAGACCCAAACTGGTTCAGTGGGAGCCAGTATTTAAAACCCGGCTCCCAAAGGTGGGGGCAACACTGGTGGACCCCCCTCCCGCCCCCTCTGTTTTGTTCCAGGGCTGCTGCTGAGAGTCAAGAGGTGACAGAGGGCCAGCCCCCCCCCGTGCCTGTGGGCCTGCTCTAATCTCACGCTTCGTTTCCCCAATCCAGACCAAGCACAAGAGGTGCCACAAAGGCTCAGCACCTCGGAAGCAAGGGCTGCGCTCCGGGTGCGACAAGGGACCAAAGGAGTCTACAGAAGCTCACCTTAGCCCACCCACTGCCCAGAATGCCAGAGGCTTCCCCCCCCCTTGCAAAACTGACCTGGGGGGAATGTCCTTTCCCTTGCACAGCCCCAGTTCTTAAGAACTAGCACCTCCTTTTGCTTTCTGAGTTGTGGGGTGCGCTTAGAGGCTGCATGTGCCCCTTTGCATGGGACGGAAAGCCACCTGCACCAGCACACCGGCCTGGCCCCCTGTTCCCTTGGCCGGCCAAAGGGTTAGTAAGTCAGGACCCTCCCTCCCCTTTTCCCACTGGCTTCTCTCTCCCAAATCACCTGTAGCTGCTGCTGCTGCTGCTGCTGAGAGACGGGTTTGGGGGGACGGAGGGTGAAACTCCGTAATCCCACAGGGCGCCAAAGGATCCTAAGACATAATGGCTGGGCGGGGTGGGGTGGGGGGGGAGAGGTCCCAGGGCAGACCAAAGGGTGAGCCGCCCCCCCCCCCGAGGGCGGCAGCTACAAACGAACGGGGCGGTCTGCACCGCCGCCCATCATACTCCGGTGGGTTCGAGAGCGGGACCCGGAGCAAGAGCCAGGCTCCCCGTCCACCGCCTGGCGCGGGGGGGGGGCGGGGAGGAAGCTTTCTCGAGGGCCAACTTGGTAAAGGCGCGCAAAGGAAGAGGCTCCGAAGCGCAGGCAGGGAGCCGGCCGGGTGAGAACCCTTTCCAGTTCTCCCGCCCACAGGGC